GGCCGGGGCCGGGGCCGGGGCCGGGGCCGGGGCCGGGGGCAGAGCCGCCTCGGGCACGGCGCAGGGAGCACGTGTGGCCGGCCCCGGCCCTGTCAGCGGCTGGGGATGCCGTGGCTGGGGCCGGACGCGGGCGCTGCCCGCGGCAGCCGAGCCCCGTGGCCCGGCCTGGCGCAGGGCAGCTCGCCATGAGGTGAGCCGGAGCGTTCCCCTCCGACTGTCCCAGCCCCAGGACATGGCACCGGCACGATGGCTCACCTGCACGCTTCGCCGGCACCTACAAGAGGACGAGGACGAGGAGGAGGAGGAATAGGAGAGCCAGTGGAGAAGAGGACACAGCAGGTAGCCCAGCTCCTTGACCTCCAGGAGCACTGGTGTGGCTAGTGGCCAGCTGGGGAAGGGTTAAGCTGCAGGGAGGGGAAATTCCTTCCAGGCAGAGTCACGGTTTCCCTGCCAGGGGAAGTGGAGGCAGAACCCGGAGCACAGCTGGGGAGCAGAGGAAGGGCCCCTGGCCAGCCCAGGGGCTGGTGGCCAGATGGAGCCGCGGCGGAGCCAGGGGCGTGGGGTACACGGCTGACAGAGCCCATCAGGGTCACTGTGACCCCCAGGACCAGCCCTGCTCCTCCCCGGCCTCAGAGGACCCCAGCCCCACAGATCCCACACACCCACAGAGCTGTCAGAGCTCACGGGTCCCTGCAGAGGATGCTCTAGGCAGAGGGCAGGAACTGGCAAGGAGTGACCTGCCACCAAAGGCCCAAAGCAGGGACACCATCACAGCCTGAGCAGGGCCATCACCCTCCCCACACCTGCTCTGAGAGCAGAGCGTGCAGCCAGGGACCCTGTCCTAAGCTCCCTGCCCCCCCTGGGGCATCTGGGGCCCCCTTTCCCATCCCCTGGGCCTCCACCAGCCAAAAGCCCCCCCGGGCTGCAGCCACGCCAGGAGAGCTGCACAGAGCCCCTGGCACCCTCCCCGTCCAGCAGCACCCACAGCAGACACAAACACGGGTTCAGGGGCAGTTTATTGGGACACAGGGACACACTCCAGCAGCCCCAGCCTGGCCTGACCCTGCAAGCCCCCCTGGTCACTCAGCTCCCATCCCTCTTGCTGCCACATCCCCGCTCCAGCATGTCCCCCTCACGCTGCCCCCAGGGCACACAGCAGCTCCCATGAGTGACCCCCACCCAGCTGGGGCCCATCACAGAGAGCAGGACCAGGGCAGGGGACAGCCATGGCTGGGAGGATGGAGGAGACAGCCTTCAGCTCCTGACAGAGCCGTCACTACAGGCACACTTTCACCTCTGGGAATCCCAAGAATCCCAGGAGAGGCAGGAGCCAACTCTTCCCCACAGCGAGGAGAGACTGCAGGGAGGGAAGGGAAGGAAGAGCAGCCTCCTTGCTGGGGGACCAGGGAGCAGAACTGAGCCCAGCTCCAGAGGGAGGGACCCCCCCAGAGGGAGGGACCCCCCCTCATTCTCTGAGCCCTGTCACTGCTCCCTGCCCTCGGCCACCATCAGCCCCTGTGTGCCACACGGGCAGAGCCCCGGGAGGAGCCGGGACCCCAGCTCTGCCTAGCAGGCAGCCCCCCAGCACGGGCTGCTCACATGAACTGTGACAGATTGGGCACTTTGATGTTGATGTCCCCGATGTTGATGTTGCGGGGGATCTCGGGCAGGTTGATGTTCTTCACGGCCGACACAGCACGGGAAGGAGCAGCTGAGAGGCCTCCCTGGGGACAGAGGGACCGTGACCACCGGCCCCACCCCACAGCCCCTCCACAGCATCTTCACGATAAACCTTTAATGGCCTGGGGTCATTAACCTCGACAAAAGAACCACTTCCAGCAGCTCCCTGCACTCCTGACGAGCACCACTGGGCAGGGATGCCCCCAGCCCATCCCGAGGGCTCAGGGAGGCAGACACTGGGAGTACCCTGGGTATCCCCCCACTCCCACCCCCGTCCCCGTGGGCCACCCCCTCGCAGCCCGGGGTCTGTCAGCTCCGGCGGGGCAGAGCGGCAGTGTCACCGCTCACCTCTGCCTTCTCCAGCTTGCCCTGCGCCTCCACCTGCGCCACAATCTCGTTCATGTTGGTCTCCAGCACCATCCCGCCGATCACCATCTCCTGCAGGATGTGGTGGACCTGCCAGGGAGGGACGGAGGGAACAGAAGGCTGAGGGCCCGCTCCTGGGAGCATGTCAGGGGCCAGCATCTCCCCAAGGGACACAGACCTCCCCCTGTCCCCTTCTGAGCTGCCTGGAGAGCGAAAGGGTGGCCAAGGGGAGCCCCACAGCTCCACTTACCACCTGTACCCCTCTGGAGATGACACACGCCCACCGGGCCCATGGCAGCCCCTGTGCAACCCCTGACACATGGCTGGTCCCTCCCTGGCCAGGAGCCAGGGTACAGCAGGAGTGTGTCCTAGAGATGACCCCAGCAGGCAGCAGGGTCCTCACTGGGAGGACACTTCTCCCCAGAAGCTCCTTCTCCTCAGAGAGCCAGGCCAGAGCCTGGCCTCTCTGCTGTCTCTGAGGAAGGCTGGGACTGTGACACAGGCCC